TTTTATACTATGGAATAATTTTCTCTTGCATGACCTCTTGCAATTTTTGTTGTTTAAAAAATTGACCAACGATAAGTAATAGCTGAGGTCAGCTTTCTTATAAACTAACCGAGCCATTAAAGAATGACTAGTGTTTATATCTTAGAATTTTACGGTGCCATACGATAACACGCGATAGGAAAGGATATAGAATGTAAACGTAGAAACCTGATATATTTATTTCGGTGATGGTAGATAGATTTCTTCGAACTACATACAGAGAACCGTTTTACTGCAGCGGATGTATCCACTTTCTCTGTCTAACACGTTCACTGCCAGTTCACTGACATATACGGTCCAGAATGTATTGCTCCGCGTGCTACCAATTCTCTGGTGGCAGCGAACGTGTTAAGGGGTTAATGTTTTTTAACACGTTTGCTGTCGTCGGAAAATTGTGAGGGATGTGCCGTGTGCCGTGCTCTAAGCCAAACACGTGATTTTCACCAAGAGTTCAGTGATGATAATCGCAGATCATACGGGGGCGGTATGCGTCGACAATGCTTCGTCGGTGGCACACGACGCGTCGTTCTGTGTCGACAATGCTTCGACGATGGCACACGGGATGTCGGTCCGTGTCGACAATGCTTCGACGGTGGCACACGGCGCGTCGGTCCGTGTCGACAATGCTTCGACGGTGGCACACGGCGCGTCGGTCCGTGTCGACAATGCTTCGACGGTGGCACACGGCGCGTCGGTCCGTGTCGACAATGCTTCGACGGTGGCACACGGCGCGTCGTTCTGTGTTGACAATGCTTCGACGGGGGCGGCGATCGTGTTGTGGGTGTTCCAGTACTTAAACCTTCGAATCCCTTTCAAAGATTTTTTATCCTCTGAATTGACTCTTGTCGCGTCGCGCAGTATGCAAATCGGTTCGATCGAAAATAGATTCGACTACTTGAATGCTCGAAATAAGGGAAACACGTTTATTGCGCGTGGTTAATGCGATTCTCCTTTCCGCGCGTATATATACGCGCAAGGAGCATTATGCGATACCGGCAGGAAGTTTCTGAGCATCCTATGTACTTTTTACGGCGTCTAATAAAGTCAGCTAACTGCACATTTTTGTCCGTGATGGGCCAACTACCGGCGGCTCGTTTTCCGACGTGCACGTGTATACTTCTGACTGGCAACTGGGCTCTCGCTCGAACCATGTAATCCTACGGGGGATTTGTATTTCTCTGTCTCTCTGTCTCAAGAGAGAAATACCGAGGAGGAAAGCAATTGTTCACAGCTGTGTTCACCATGTAAACTAATGAGATCAGAGGGAAAAAAGGAAGTTGAATTTCGTATGTAGCAGAAGTAGAATGTACCAAAGATTAGTTCGCAACGTTAGCGTCGTATAGCTTACAATATCAGTAGAAAGTGACGTTGGGATCAGACGTTCCAGGAAGAACGACATTCAACACTGGGGACGCGTACGAGTCGCAACGCACCAATTTCGATGATTTCATTTATCCTTATATTATAGATAGCAAATATGCGTCCGGATGTTTGGCGCCGAGCAGGCTACAACACAGCTGTTTATGATGCAAACATGTCACAGATTGTTCAACATGCCCGTTGGAGTTTGTGACATTGAAGTGCACTTGTTTTTAGCATACATATTTTTACTACTAATCATTCTTTCATTGACATATTTCTTTTTTACTCATTTATCCTTTCTTTTTATTACGCCTCATGAGTTTTTCTATCTAATTATCGTAGAAACCGATTCTTTTCTACAACGAAAAAGCGGTTCCCGAGGAGAAGATGAAGATGTGGAAGGAATCGTACGACTACCTGAACAAATTTCTGGAGGGTAAGAAGTGGCTCGTTGGCGATTCTTACACTATCGCGGACATCAGCTGCGCAGCAACTGCGTCTAGTTCCTCCGTAAGTCCTTTTGTCTTTATTCAAATGGATCTAACTATGCCTCGAGGATTAGAATGTATTCCTCTGAATGGTTTTTTTTTCCAGATTCTGGTGAATATGGATGAATATCCTAACGTAAAGGCCTGGTTGCAAAGATGCGAGGAGGAACTTCCAGGCTACAAACAGTACAATCTCGGAGGCAACAATCAATTACAGTCCATGATCCGCGCTAAACTCGCCTAAAACGAAGAAAAATCTCTCGAACAAATTGTACTTCATAATCTCCATATTATTCTACTACACAAAACAGAATAATCATTTGTGTGTGTGTGTGCCTGTGTGTGTTTTGTCAATAATCACACGCATGTACAACAAAAGACTCGATCATTTGTTTCGTTTCCTTTTTTTTTTTGTTAATAATCATACGCATGTGCAACAAAAGGCTCGATCACGATAAATCCATATCCTCCTAAATTCATTTTTTCCTTGCAAAAAAACTAGCATGGACAGTCGTTGGTGATAAAGGCGTATTGTTCCATGGACTGGCGTGCAGCTCAACGGTCGACTGCAGCTTTGGATGCACTTTTGTCAACAGATACGCTGTCGCGTATCATTTCGCCGGACATGATATTTCCCGGAAGGGTAGATAACTTGTGTAGCTGATTAAACACATGCTTAAATCTGTTTTCCTACCTTGTTATCGCTGGAATACGTAGTAAACAAAGATCGACACTCACCACTTCGAGATTCCAAGAAGCAACGATCACGAAACGATATAGAATTCTTCTGTCCTCCATAGAGATACTCCATTATCAAGAGGCTGACGTTCTTTCGTTTTGCATACTCGAGAACATCACGAAATCAGGACAAGAACGTTCTGTTTGCTTTGGACAGGTTTGCACTGTGGTTTCGCAATTAATGTGGTTTAATCAGAATCCGCTGTACACGGTGGACCACGTGAAACAGGCCACCTAATTATCTTCTCTAGCTACGGTGGTACGAGACAATTTTTATACGCAATTTAAATGGTCCCCAAGGGTGAATAATATGGTAGAAAATTTTTTCTATGAATACCATTTTTTTCTGTTTTTTTTTTTTTTTAATTTAATCGCATTCGTTAAAATGTAGTAAAGCTGAAAGGAACTATAGGAAAAAAATGAATTAAGCGAGGATGATAAACTTCACTCTGCCGTGTGTTCGATATACTACGAATTGAAATGAATTGAATTACGTCGCACTTTTGCATTCTGCGATTAAACATATGAGCCAAAGTGTACATATTTTTTTCTACTGTATATTGTAGTAAACATTGATGTGCATTTAGACCAATAATATGTTCTTTAACTCTGAAATTTTAAATCAAACGTGAAACTTCCTTTCATTTTTCGTCATTTCTTCCATCGAGAAAACTTTTCTTCCATGTTGTTCACCCTTTGAATAAACATTTTCTCGTTCACCAGGGCTAGAGAAGATAATTAGATAGTCCGTTTCACATGGTCCACCCTGTGCAACCGTCTACGATTTCTTAATCGTGAACATTGTGACCGAAATCTTGATCATTGTGATCTTCCGATTGTTTTCGAAAACGTTTTATTTTCTTGCATCAACAGATACCAAGAGAGGAACAATTAATTTCCGAAGCATCTTTCGGTGTCATAACGCTTACGGAAGTCAGAACAGAGTTTCGAATTGTTGGCCTTCCATTTGATAGATACTACACTTTACCTCTTTGAGGCATTTATTCGGTGTCATAACGCGCACGGAAGTCAGAACGGGGTTTAGAATCGGCAATCAAGAAAATTCACGGTCAAAACGGCGCTAACAACAGCCTGAACGAGTCTACACGTAATCGTTATTTCCTTGTCCCAGTTTTTTTCATTGCATCGAGACTGGTTCTGTCTTTGTTTCGTGTCTCGATCGGTGAATCGCACATTCGGCCGTAATTTGCAGGAATTAATACCTTGCATCTTCCGGCGATTTTCCTGCTTAGCACCACTTACTACATTTTCTCCGATCCGCGAGCAGAGCCGTATATGGAACAACCTTGGTTTCATTCTTCTTTCTACTGGTTCTTTCAAAAATAGAAACAACCTGATCTCTTTATAAATTCAAACCGACTTTTCGGCTGGATAATTATACTTCGAGGAATTTAATTCACCCTCTGTAATCTAATTCTTCTTCGTTCACGAGAACGAAAACTAGAGTTGATTACAATTAGACATTTTCATAGGAGAAGCAAGAGTAAATATAAAAAATAATTATCATAAAAAATGTAATAATTGTAAATTCGTAAATTGTATTTATTATCGAAACATTGTAACGTGTTCATAAATAAAATGAGAAATAAGCGCAACCTGCAAGTCACGTGGTGTTACAGAGGGTTACAAAGATCTCGAGGATTCGAATCTACTCCTTTCTCGCGTAAAGTCTGATCAATTTGTAGGAAATATATTGTTTCGCTTGGATGGTAGCGGAACCAGTGACGTTAACGGACACGCCGAATCGGACGCGGCGAATTGACGAGCGTTTCGCAATATCGTCGATCCTCCTAAATGGCCGCGTGCATTGTCTTTGTCGTACATTGTATGGAAAACAGCTTGATTATGGGAAATGCGCGGGTTGCACGGGTAGTCGGTTAATTAGCAGCCACTTTGCTACTCGCCACGTTTTTTTTTCTTCTGCGATTTTCCGCTCTCTTCCTCTCCGTTTATGCGCACACGTTTATTAGGTAACACACGGCGTTGGTAATACAACGACGAAAACAGGTCTTTCCCTCTTTCTTCTCGCTCGGCTCTCTTCCCTTCCCTTTGTGTACGTTCATGCAATCGTCTCGTTCCTCTCTGCAGATCTGCAGGCCGCATCATCCGATACCAGACTGGTATAATGCAACGCATATGCAGACCGAGCATTCTCGATTTCCACGAAACAAGTCGCGTAGGAGCTCTCTCTCTCTCTCTCTCTCTCTCTCTCTCTTTCTCTCCCGCTCGTCCGACAGGTTCTCGCTTTTTTTCCCTCGTTTTTTCAATATCATGTGCTTCGTATTTTTAAATTCGGCTGTATACACACAGATGGATGGAGAGAAAAAGGAAGAGAGGAAAACAGAGAAAAAAAAAGAAGGGAGAAATAGGATTTTCGACTTGGTTACGCGGAATTTTGCTATTCTCCTGCGTGCCCCCGCTAATAGGATTACCACCCGTGGTTGATAAAGAGGAGAAAAAAGAGGATTCTTTGTTCGAGACTGGCGATGGCTTTAACGACGATTTTGAATAATAAAATGATAAAAAACGGAGGAGCGAGGGGATTAGATTGCTCTCTGTTTTCCTTTTACGCCTAGCCCGTTCTTCAGGCTGTACGAATATTTACGAACCGGAGGAGTTCTTTGGTCCATTTATTTCTCTTCACGGCGAGAGGTTATTAAGGTGAAGGCACTCTTTTTCTACCTTCTTGAAATTTGGTCCCGCCTACCTGAATCTACCTGGCACAAAAACACTTTTGATTATGTAGTCCAAGTCACACCAGACGCGTGTCATTCTTGCTCGAGCAATCTCCGAATTGTCCCGGTAAAATGATATTTTGAAAGATATTTTGAGAGGAAGGATGTGATAGGAAGAGAAAGAAACTTCACCTTCTTCCTATTTAAATGATATTTTGCGTACTTTTTACCTACGAACCTCTGAATTTTAAATCAGATTTTGTATGTTTGCTACCTATGAATCTCTGAACATTAAACGATATTTTATGCGTTTGCTATCTACGGACCTCTGAATTTTAAACGATATTTCGTGTGTTTGCTTCCTATGGACCTCTGAATTTTACACGATATTTTGTGTGTCTGCTACCTCTGAATCTTTAATAGTATTATGTGCATTTGTTACCTGTGCTCCTCTATTTGTTACCCACGAACCATCGAGAAAATAGGGTAAACTCGTTCACGAGTTCAGATCGCCCCTAACTTCCTGTCGGATTCAACGTAGAAACGCTCGATTCATCTGTGCCCTGTCGAAAGAAGAGGTTCTTTGAACCACCTTCTGGAACAGGTTCGCACGGTTTTCCACCGAAAGTGGTCCCCTTTTCACACATTCGTTACAAGGGAACGTCGGTGTGACCGGGACACCGGTTGAAATTGATAACGGCTATTCTGTCGAGATAAGAAGCGACGGTGAATAGGAGATCGCTCGGAAGATCAGGATAAAGGCGAAAGGGACGCGCGGTGGAGATTCGTCGAGGAGGGTGCACAAAGGACAATTCTTACGAACGACATTTGCGTCACTGGATCGTGCAGCATTGCATAATTAAGATTCTACTTTCGCAACAATCCAACAATAAAACCTGTTCTTTATCTCAGATATTTCCCATTTTACTACAGATAAAATGTAACTCCTACTTTTACTCCATTTCTTCATTACCCATTAATATTCTACGTTCACGATTACCAGTTTATTACATTCGAAATGTGTTTACGAATCTATTTACCAACAGAATAGAAAAACTGTTCTGTTCTGGTGAATAAATATGTTTACATCGTACGACGACGAGCGCGCAAATCTCGCTAGCGATCGAATTTCGATCTTTGAAGGATAATTAGCCGAACCGTTTCACGGTTCAGAGTTCGTTGATATTTCCTCGTTGGTGTAATCGTCTGTTAATAGTAATTAATAGCCATGACGACCGTGGAATTCGTGGAAAGATGAGTCTCGATAATGATAGCTTGTCGCGCATGATTACTTTCGATCAAAGGTTCCAATACAACGAGAGGTCAAGCCGATCGACTTGTCATGATCGCGTTTATGTGTTAAACAGATCCAGCTGTTCCACGCTGTTAACGTTCTTACTAAGTATAAACACGTCTTGTAACGGCTCGATTCGACGAAACTGATCGATTTGCATATACATTTTGACAGTTTTACAAAATCGTTTGGTTCCAAAGAAGAGCGAATACCTTCTGGTCAGCAAAGTAAGAACACTTAAAAAACAATAGGTACTATAAATTCGTTTGCCGATTAATAATGGAATCGTTTAAATTTCAAATCGAAGAAACCGTGTCGTATATACACACGTTAGCTCGTTATGTTCGTATCATCGAAACTTTACCCCCTCGTGTCGAGATTCATCGAAGAATCCTTTTTCAAACCTTCTACACCGAACTCCCGCGGTGAATCCTTGTTCCCTCCAAGTCTGTCGTAATTCTTTATCGTTCTCCAAGTTCTTCCACACGGATCACTCTTCCTTTCTCTTTCCTCCACTCTCCCAGGAATCAGGTTAATCTCAGCCGCTCCGTTGATCCTCCAATTCCTCCAGCGGAATCTGATAATCCGTTTCAAGGTCGGCGAAACTCGCCCGAATAAATAAGGTATCACGGACAAACAGAAACGAGAAGAAAAGAAAAGGGAAAACAGCCAAGTGACACACCTGAGGCGCGGACAATTTATATATTCAGCATCGCTCGAGCATCGGCGGAGGATCGTTTTTGGATCTCGAGGACCGGAGGAGCTCTAAATATCGGGGGAAAAAAAAAAAAAAACGAAGAGGAAGAAGGCGAAACGAAGTTGAAGTATCGGGTCTGAGGGGATCATTTGGGCAAGGAAGACGGGCGTGCAACAGCACACACCGCTGGTGTGTACGAGCCTATAAATACATATTCACGAGCGGATGTTGAGGCATTGCTAAGGTCCACGTGGTCGTGGATCACGGTGGTGGTAACAGTCGGCCTCCGACCGTCGCGTCCAAAGTGTGCATAAACGTGAGTCGGTGTGTTTC